ATGTACGTGTGTGCGTGCATTTGGGGGGGTGTGTGCGCGTGTATGGGGTGCATGTGTCTGTGTGTGCGTGTCTCCATACACATATTTGGTTGTTGGTGTGTGGGTGTACATCTGTGTGTGTATCGGTGTCTGTATGGGGGGTATATACATCTGTGTACATTTATGTGTCTGTGTGTGTGCATCCATCATTACATGTGTGCATGCGTGTGTGCACATGCGGGGATGTCTCTGTCTCTCCCTTTGTACATTTGTGTGCCTGGATCTCAGCACACGCGTGTGAGCATGTCTCTGTGTGTGTGCGTGTGCGCAAACCAGGGAGGAACGAGCAGGGAAACACTGGGGGGGGAGCACAGGGCCCCGCTGTGTGTGCCCGTGCATGCACACACACGTGGCCGTGGGCAGCCCACGGGAGTGGGGATGGCTCCGGCAGCTGGCGGCCACAGCCTGGGAAGGGCTGGCGTGTGTGTGAGCGTCAGTGTGAATCTTCATCCCACCCTGCGCCGGGGCATTGGTGCAAGAGCCAGAGCACGTCATGGGGTGCAGCGGGGTGGGGAGACGGTCCCTGCTCCCAGACCTTGCTGCTGGCCTGTGCCCTCCAGCAACACTACCCAGCAGCTCCTGGATGGGGAGGCCCCTTGAACCCAGTGGGACACCCAGCCTGGAGCCTGCTGCTGGGTTTTCACCCTCTCTCAATTTAAACATGAATTGCTTTAAAAAGTGACACTGCGGTTCCCCGGAGCAGTTGGAGCCCTCCTGGGCGCCCAGGGCTGCAAGCCGGCATGCTTCGGCACGGTGCTGCCAGCCACTTTCAGATGCTCTGGCTGCTTAAATAAATTTAATCATTTATAACCTGAAATGCACCTTGAGAGCACCAGGGAGCTTTGCCCCAGCTCGAGCCATTGTGGGCAGGTTGGAGGCGCGGAGCAGGATCCTTCCCAAGGCCTCGTGCTTGCAGGAGCTGCTTCCCACCCGACGGGTTTGGGGGTTAATGCAGTTTAAGGGATTGTGTCAGCGTGGCAGCTGGGACATGCGGGAGCTGAGCGTAATCCGGTCCATGAGCCACTTCCCCGGGGCCAGCTGCCTCGCTGTGTCCTGCCAGCCCCTTCCTGCACGCGTGGAATCCCACCAAACCGAGCGGCCGCCCTGGGGCAAGGGGGTTCTGGCTTCCATCCCTGCACCCGATGGCCACTGGCGGCTCTCCCAATGTCTCCTTTGCTCTTGCCCCAACCCCAAAACACCCGGAGGGCACCAGCAGTGCTTAAGGAAGAGAAGACGGCCCCGGTAGCCCCACGAGCCCCCTCGGGTGTCTCTGCAGGCTGTGGGGGCATGTCCCTTCTGTGCTGCTGCTGGTGGGCTCAGCCCCTGCGGGTGGTGGGTGCCCAAAAACAGAACCCTGCGTGCAACCGTCAGCTCTGCTCCTCCACCACCCTGGTGTGCTGCCAGCCGGGGCCAAAGGAGTGACCCCAGCGTTTTTGGGGACACCGTGCATCCCTGACATGCTGCTGGCAGCTGGGCTGTCCCTGGCAATAAAGCAGCCGAATAACCCTCTCTCCCTGGGTGGTTACTGCCCTGCCATGGGCTGTGCCCTGCCAAAAGCCCCTGCAACCCCGCCGCCTGCTTCCCCGCCACAGCGGGTCCCCAGACTCCATCCTGGCGGCTGCATCGGGGTTGGCACGATGCTTTCAGCCCCCTGTTCACCGTCGTTGCAGCATCCCGGGGTGACAGCCTGTTTCCCTGCTTGGCCGGAGCCTCTGGGCTGCGGTGCAGGCAAGTGCTGGCGTGCTGGCGGGGGGGGACACTGCCCACCCCACACCCAAGCAGGGACAGTGGTGACTTCTGCTTGTGCCCTGTCCCCAGGGCTGCAGCCGCATCCAGCTCGCCGCATCCAGCTCCCCAAGCACCCTGGGCCAGGGAGGGCTGGGCAAGCGTGACTGGGCCAAACCTGTGGGGACGTCAGCCCTCAAAGAGTCGGTCCTGCTGCGGGACGGTGCTGTTAACCCCCATAGTTGAGCGGTGTTTTAGCTGAGGACTGTGCAGCATTCAGCACTCCCCGAACGAACCCGCCTCCAATTA